CCCGGCCCCGCCAGGACCAGCAGCAGACCGCCTTTCCTAGGTGAGTTTATTGAACAGTGCTGCAAATGCCTCCTCACCCCACCTCACCTCCACGATGTGCTCAACCTTGCCGCATCTGCGTGACCGTGTCTTCCAGACGACATCTTACGGCAGTGCGACGTGAAGGATCAGGAGTCGTTGGACAGCTGCCTGTACCACGTCTTGAACAGTATCCGGCCCTTCCTGCCAGAGGGTGAGTACCCGCATGGTCAGAAACGGTGAAGGGTGGCAGAAGGACCTCTTTCTTACGCGGTTTTTGTTGTTTCTACCCGTGTTTTTTACCCGAGGGTCCATGCCCCGGCCGAGTAGGCAACCTGCCCGCATGTGCGAATGCGGTGCAGAAAACTATGAAAAGAGAAAGGGGTCCGTTAGGCCACCCAGTTCGGGCGGGCTTGCGCTTGCCTAATGCCCCTGTCCACGGCGCCTGGCCGAGCGAAGTAGGCAACCCGCCCGCACTCGTGCGTGCGGTACAGCATAACCACCTGGTATGTTCTGAGCGAGCTCTCCGTGGTGACACTAACTCTGCCCTGGCGCAGGCATACCGGAGTGGCACATCCCGCCCCTGGAGCCCATGGTCATCAAGGGCGTCTCGCTCAACCAGGGCGGCGGCAACACCAGAATCAGGGCCATGTTCAAGGACTTGAAGGTCTCCGGGCTGTCGAACTACATCATCACCTACGTCAAGTACGTATAAAATCATGTCAAAAATAATGGCGCCAATTTTGAGCAGTGCATTGCGAAACACAAACATGTCCGTGACACTTAAAAGTAGCCTGGTGACGAATAACGTCAACTACCTGGCCTGGTGTGGCCAGGGTGAAGTGAGGCATCCCGTTACGCGAGTGTGTGTTGTGCACAACTCCTGGCCATGACGCCTATCGGGGCATCTCGTCCATTCTCCCGCTCACCCACGTTCACCCTGTTCCCGCCAAGATCCTCTCTCGCGCCCCAGTGTCGCACCCGATGTCCTATAATCTCCCTCGCCCATTTTGTCTGCCCGTCTTTCCCCCGCTCTCCCTTTTATGGCCGAAGAGACAGTCCACATTGCGCATTGCATGTCTGGCAGACGGCCTGAGAGGCACAATGAGAAATCCATAAACGACATCGAATCGATATCGAATAAACGATATCATTCATCAGACACACTTGTCCATCTCGGCCCCAATTCGGGATTGATTCTATTTCAAAATCGGCAATTTATCTGATACCGATGTCGGTCTGATATCGATTCGAAATCACCGGGCTTGGTCTTGAAAGACCCTGATCGCCAGGTCGTCATATGCAGCAAACAGGACGGGCCATGCGACTTGTCCGGCTAGGACGCGGACTTCCCGGGCAAACATACCACTCCTCTCTTACTTTCGGCTCCGGGCCCCCGGTGTCCTGAGACAATAACAACGGCTTATCTCTATTTACACGAGGGTGGGACCCCTCGCCAAAAAGGGGGGGGGGGGCTCTTTCGCAGTCCATCTCGCGCGCCGATAGCAGGCAAAAAACTACCCCTTTCATGTTTTTGTTTTCCCGCTTAGGTCGTCCCCGGCCGACTACAAGTTCACCATCGGCCTGCAGTTCCCCAAGCTCCACACCAAGGGCGAGTACACGATCTTCGGCAACCTGCTCCTCATTCCCATCAAGGGCCAGGGACCCTTCTGGGCTGACTTCAGTGAGTATTGTCACCGACGTGCGCCTCAAATACTGTTGCACTCTCGGTTCTACGAACGAAGTGGAAACGCGTCATCTTTGATTGCAATTTGCTTTAGAAAACGTGACGGCCGACTCGTACAACTGGTTGGACGTCCAGCACCTCGTGGGGTCCGCGGGCCCCGGCCGCCTGCACCTCTCCCAGACCAAGACCGACTTCGCCATCGACAAGGTGCAGCTCCGCCTGGAGCACCTCTTCAACGACGACGAGTTCCTGGGTGAGTCACGCGGGTGGTGGTGTCGCCCCCAAGAGAAAGGGTGCGGCGAGCGCCAGCGCTTGGGGCCCGGGGGTCTTGGGGGCGGGGCGGAGGCGGAGCTGGCGGAGCCCACACACCATCATCGGACGGCTACGGGGAGCAGCAGGGAATGTCGAGGAAAGGGGGAAGCAGCAGTGCGGGAAGATAAGGCGATAACCGCTCTCTCTGGTCGCGCGAGATACGGAGGATGAGGACGGCTCCACATCATATAGCTTCGGGAAAGACGAGGAGCAGCGGGGCAAAGGGGGAAGGGGGGTGATCATCTCAATCCCAATAACAAACAATTATGCGGCAGTGACGATTCCCTCGTACAAAAATACCCCCGAGCCGTCATCGTTTTTACCCCTGGAAAAAACTTGGGGGACTTTGTGCGGCTGGCGGCGGCGGTTGGGAATGTCCTGTACGGCACGGGGCCGAGCATCCCACTCCCTATTTCCGGCCGGTGTATAATGAAAGACACCGAGCCGATGCGACACGACCGTCTCGTGAGCGAGCGAGAGAGGGATAGAGAGAGAGAGAGGCGGTGTCCTGGAGTCCGCGAGAGAGTGCGAAAGAGAGAGAGAGAGAGAGGCGATTCGCTCGCGCGGCGCCGCCGGCGTGCCGGTGACGGGGCTGATGATGCGACTCGTGATGCGCTTGAAATTGAATCCAGCTGCATGCGACAGCGCGGCGGCAAAGCCGAGGCGACACGCCTTCGCCGCCTCGCCCTCGCCACCAACGGCGGCACGCGTGACTCCGCCACACAGGAGCGATGCGATGGGCGGCTCGAAAAATCTGAGGGGATCGACTTTTCGTCTCACGCCGAAACTCCAATTATTGCGACAGTGAAAAATATTTTGCAGGTTGATAACGGGAGAGATTTTCATAGGGAATGTTGTAAGATTACGATTTCAGTACAGTAATTGAGTAAAATTATGCAAAATGTGTACATAATCTATCGGTGACCCATAGGCGCCGTTCTTTTCTCTGGTTATACTGTACCGGATGCAGGGGTGCGGACGGGTTGCATACTCGCACGGGGCCGTGCGGGCCGCAAGGCACCTCGGTGACCGAGGATAGGCAAGACCGCACGCTCGCCTGCATGCGGCGCAGTATAACCAGAAGAAAGAACTGCGCCGATGATGGGCCACCCGATGTATCGACGATGTGCTTTAGTATGGGAATTGGAAATGAGCATTTTATGTATATGTATTGCTCAGCCGAATCATTTCTGTCGCGTCCCACGCACGGGTGTAGAGATCTACACCGTGGTCCCACGACAAAGCGGCGCGGCCCCGGAAGTATGTGACGGAATTCGACGTACTTATCTGCTGCGGGGCACCAGCTTATTGAGTCACAACGGAACGGGAAAGTGTAGGTCTCCAGAAACTTTCAACAAACCCGCACGGCTGTGTGGGTTTAGTTTGGCGCGGAAACACGGGGGCCTGGCTTAAGCGCCAACACCTTAACGAGCACGACGCGGGGTTGGCGCGGGGAGGGAAGAGAACGGGCGGGCAGATAGGAACGGACAGCAGGTGAAGGAAGAGGAGGGGGGGGGAGGTGCCGTGGCGTAAGGCGTCTACAATCACCGCACTCACTCCACGCGCCTCTCGCGGCGACGGTTACTTGCGACGCGGCGTGGCCCGGCGTGGCGGCGCCCGGCTTGGCGGGCTTTACGCGCCACTCAGTCTTTGGCGCGGGGTGGTTTTCCCGCGGGGCCGACGGGGCCACCCGCGCCAAAGACTCGGCGGCGGCGGGGCGACGCTACGGGACTCGTGTTCGGCGACCGTCCCTCTCGCACACCACAGGGCGCGACGGAGAGGCGCAAGTCCACGGACGCGCGAAGGAACGGTTGTTTCCAACGACGCGCGCCGCGGCCCGGGCCCTTCCCGCGCTGGTGGGGCGCGCGCGAGAGACGCGGTGGCGGGAAGCGCCGCGGCCGCGGTCCT